ACAACCAATGGCATCACCAATTACAGGAACAATATATACAGGTCCACCAGCAAAATATTTAAGTAATGGTAGTATGAATAGCAATGGTTATGCAACAGGTGGACCTATGAGACCAATGTTACCACCACAACAACAGAATAGATATGGTTCATATAATGGAAATAATAATAATAATTATAATAGTGGACCATCAATGCAACAACAACAACGTCGACAAAATAATACTGGCGTTGATAATGCAACAAATGATTCAGTCAAGTAAGTAAAAGATTAATTGAGTTTTATATATATATGTCAATGATGGAACCAAGTTTTTGAACTGATTAGGATTGTCGAGATTTTCTTGGAATGCGACGAGCTAGAAACTCGATAGAAAATGTTTTCATTCGTGGAGTGTTAAAAGTGATAACGTGAGGAGAAAAAACTGAAACCCAAGATGACCTAGATTTTCCACAACAGAAGACCAGCTCGTTCTTCAGTACTGTGATTCTCCTTGCAACAACATTGTCTGCTTATATTTATTTTACTTTCTGCCGAACACAAGCAAATGATGTCTTAAAATCCGATTGCTGTCAAGTATTACTACGAAAAATTAGCAGAAAGTATTAAGAAGTTTGAGCTTCTCCTATAATCGAAAATCTTATAGTCTACACACCTTTGAACATTCCTGATGAGATTTTCAAAAATGTATCTTTTTTAAATGACGATTCACAACCTTCTATATACTGAATAACCTTTTCTTCAAACATGTTCGTCAATTTCACAGAATAAGATATATATGTTGAAACGTTTTATTGAAAAGATTAATATATTTTTCAAAGAGTCTGCGTTTGATTTACCTTCCGCCTTTGCTTGGCTATCAATATATACATATTGTTTTTTTATTCTTAAACTTTAGTACAAGAAAAGTATTTGTTGGTGGTCTTAGTCCAGATACAAAGATGGGTAAAAAAAAAAAGCTTTTTTTAGTATGAAATTTATTTTAATATTGATATTTTAGAACATCTTTGTGAATATTTTGCTAAATTTGGCAATGTCGAAAGTGCTACTGTTAAGTTTGATAAATCAGGTCGTTCAAAAGGTTTTGGTTTTGTTCTTTTTGAAGATCGTGATTCAACAGATAAAGTAAAAGAAAAATATTATTTTTCAAAATATCTATCTTTTGTTTATTTTTTGTCTTGTCCTTATTTGACAGGTTTATTCCCAAGATTTACATGTAATTCAGGGTAAACGTGTTGATACAAAATCGGCACATCGTCGTGATCAAGCACTTGCACGTAAAGTATTTGTTGGTGGTTTAGATACAGAAGTAACTGATACTGAATTACGTGAATATTTTTCAAAGTTTGGAAAAGTTTGTTAAAAATTATATTTGATTCAAAAAAAAACACAAATAATTTAATTTTTTTTTTTTTTTTTTTGTTTATTTCAATATTAGATCGCTCAAATTGAAGCACCAATGGATAAAGTTAAACAGAAACGGCGTCCATTTTGTTTTATTCTTTTTGAAAATGAACAAAGTGCTGAAGAAGTTCTTAAACAACCACGTCATACATTAGCTGGAAAATCTATTGATTGTAAACGAGCTAATCCAAAAACTACAGAAAATAATCAACAAAATAATAATGCAAACAATCCTATGCATGCACCATTAACACATTATAATATGCCTGGATTAAATCAAAATCCATTTCAATATCAACAACGTAAATAGATATAGAAAAAGGAATAAACCAAGAAAATTAATAATTTATTGTTTTTTTCTATTTTTTGTAGAACAACGTTCACAACAACCACCATCACATCAACAATTACAATATCCACAAGCAGCACTAGCTGCTCAACAACAACATTATCCATTTTATAAGTAAATTAGAAATTATTTTTTTTTTGTTTTCATAGAAAAAATTTTTGTATTTTGATTTTAGTTCATCATCACTTGGAATTTCATCAGCTCAACAACATCAACAAGCTAGTCAACAAGGACAAAATCGCTCGCAAACAAATCGACAACAATTACCGTCGAATAGTCAAGGACTTGCTCAACCATGGTCACCAATGAGTCCAGCTCAATGGCCAAACACAAATTATGGTAATATAATCGATAATCAAAAGGTTTTTAGACAAGATATGTATGTTCTTTTCGAATATGGACTTAAATAATGTTGTCTCAGTTTTTCGTTGAGAGTATTGATATAATCTTGGGACGAAACTTGCGAGTCAACGTTTCCATTGAAACTAGATTTGTTTGAAAGCATTTTAGACGAGTCGAAAACCATAGGTTGCGACCAGAGTTTGAATATCGGTTTCGATGTATTCTGTCTATTGTTATTCAGAAGCAGTGAAAGACTTAAAGAAATTATTTTTACTTGGTGAACTAACAGATTTTTGTTTGCCCAATAAGTCCCCTTTTGAATGTTAAAAATTGTCAGAGTTGGTGGTTTTTTTATGGCAGACATTTCTTTACAATATGTGATATTGAATTAAAATATAAATTTTATCCAAGGAGGCTACACAGGTTTTTTTTTCAAGAGCTTCTTGCAATATATAACGTTTGTTAATTTTTAAAAAACGAGTGTTTATGAAAGAAAGAAAAACAAAAATTGAGGTGTCTTGTCGAAAGACAAAATGCATCTTGTAGACTGACTACTGATCTACAAGCTGATATATAAAGATTCCAACTTTTAGTTTCAAATTATGATAGTGAAAATACAAAAGTTTTCCGTCTAAACAAATTTTTTGAACTTTTCAAAGATTATTTCATTACTCACGAAGACAAACTGAGATGACAGTCCTAAAGAAGAAACTATCTGAAGTGATACTTTGCGTGTAAAATGATACTCCAATCATGACGTAGGAACTGTTGAGACTAGAAGCAACCTGGAAGGATTCTTCCTCATGCGCTTGGCTGTAGAAGTTATGATCATTGTACTGAATTTTTCACCTTTGTTACTATACTTAGAAAACCTAATACCAATAAATTTTGACCTAACGTTGATGGCTCAAAAGATTGGTCTCTTTCCTGAATATCAAATCTACAAAAACAAACCTTATAGTAAAGTATCAAAGTTTTTTGTAGATTTGATTTTTCGAGAAGAAAAATTTCGTTTGTCCAGTATTTTTCATCAAGACTATGTCAGACGTAAAAAATCGAATGTAACGTTCATAACTTCAAAATAGTATCACTTCAGATAGTTCTGTCAGAAACTCTTTCTAGAGCCTCAAAAATGAACAAATATCTTGTGTAAAAAAAAGTCCGATTATTCATCAAATAAATCCTAATCAATGATTTTTTAATCTAAAATGATTTTTCATTATTTAGCGGATCCTCGTTCATATAGTTCTTATGGTCCTTCATCAGCATCTGGATCAAATGCTACTTGGCAAGTTGCTCCTCCTCCACAAGGTAATTCTTATGGACAAGGTCGAACACCATCAGCTGGTCCATCAGGTAATCCAGCAAATGCAGCTGTAGGTCCACCACAAACTCAAGCACCATTTGGTGGGGCTAATTCCAATACGGCTCAATATTCTTATGCCGGTTGGAGTTTTAGTCAACCACAAGGTTCACAAGGTCCACCATCAGCTGGACCACCACCAAATCAATATAGTTATGGAGCTGATTCAACGAATGGTCCACCAAGTGCATTTGCATATCAAGCACCAACAGGTTATGATCATTTCTCGTCCGATTCGGCACCTCCATCCAATTACAGTCGTTGATGAAAGAGCCCGCATATATACTGTACAGTTTTTTTTTTCTTATTTTTCCCTTATTCTGCTTTTTGTTTCGTAGTCCTTTATTATCATTACTTATACCATTACATAGATACGAATGCTAGTGCATATGTGTGTGCGTGTGTGTGTCATTTGCTTGCTAAATAATCATTCTTTTTTTTTGTCTTAATCATCATCATCGTCATCACTCGTTTCTCTTTTCTGTGTGATGCGCAGAGCTATTATTTAAAAAACAAAAAACACTTTTGTATTCCTGATTATTATTTTTTCGAGCATCATCATCTCAGATATTTTTGACGTTACTTTTTTCTGTGTGTTCATTACTTTTGTGGTTTTTTTCATTCTTTTTTTTTGCTTTCTGCAGTCATTCAAAACAAAAAGATCTTGAACGTTATTTGTTATTGTTGTTTGTTATTTACCGGTTTTTGGATGATGATTTTTATTCATGTACTTTTCTCTTCAAACAAACACAGTATTTCTATCATACATAAACACAAATACGAACAATAGTTTCTTTTCTTTTGTTTCTTGTTCAATACGAAACAAGGTCTTGTGTTTATTTGTGTATATGATAATCTTTTTTTTTTCGTTCTTTTTACGTTCGCGTCTCACATCATATTTTTTGACGTGATTATTATTGTTGTTGTTACTGATCTTGAATTTCTTTTTTTCTCGTGTTTGGGCATATACACACATGTTTTCTTTTGTTTTCTATGGTTTAATTATCTGAACAACTAGTTCAATAAGGCGCATACACACACACACACACGCATGCATATAGACTCGCACATAACGTTTTCTTGTTTTTTTTTGTTGTTTTCTTCTTTTGGAGACCCTTTCTTTGCTCTTTTCTTTTTCCTTGTTCTTCACAACAATTTTTTCTTATTATTCGATTTTTGTCAAAACAATGTTCGAATAAAACGAAGAAAGAAGTCAAAAGCTATAAGAAATATTTTAAAATTTAATCGAAAAAAACAAAAAGAATTCAATGAATATTAATTGAATTGAAAGAAAACGAGAAACAATTGTTTTTTGTTTCGAGTGACAAACAAACACATTTTCATGAAGCCTTGATGCAAGGACGCACATTTTCGTTTGGCTATATAGACGAATGCTATCAAGCGGAACATTTTTTTCTTTTTTCCTTTACATCAAGGATTGCTTTGCATGATGTTTCATCATCAATATTAAGAAATACAAACTGATATTACTATTCTACATAAGGTTTAATTAAATAGAACTGTCTTAGAGATTTTAAAGTGATGGGTGCAGGTAAATCTCGTAAAAAAAAACCTACTACACCCATTCCACAGTATCCAGCAAGTGCCAATCGATCTGTTGGTACAGTTAATACTGGTGTCGGAGGTGCATCTCCTATGAATCAACAGCAACAACTTATGCTAGCCAATCAAACCATTGCAAACTTAAACAATCAACTTATGGCTCTCCAAGGTGGAGCACCAATGCCTTATGGTGGTTATCCATATGGAGTTGCAGGCACACCACCAATGCCCTATGGTGGTTATGGATATCCAGGTGGACCTCGAATGCCTTATGGCACTCCTCCATATGGTGGACCTCCGAGTCCTGTTCTTTTACCTCCAGGTAGACAATATCCATATCCACCAGTAGCAGGTGGTGCAGGTTATCGAGATACTGATTTTGCAGCTATCGGAAATATTGCTGGTCTAAATTCAGCTCAAGTAGCACTTCTTCATCGAGAATATATGAATTTAACACGTGGTGGTACAATTAAAATGGATCGTAATGTTGTTCGTCATTTATTACGAGATGTTCTTCTCGAAGCCAATAATGAACATATTGATCGTGCTATTGAAAATATATTTCGTACAATCGATCGAAATCAAGATGGTTTTATTGATTTTCCAGAATTTGTTGGTGCTTTTAAAGAAGTATTGAAAGGAGACCGTTTCAATCCAGAACAACTTGTTATGAATAACGCAATTCCTGATATATTAACTGCACAATTACGAGCAAGTATTTTTGGACCTGATGCTGCTTCTCAACCACTAGCAGTAGTTCAACAGCCACAAGCTGCAACTCAATGTGTTCCAACTGGTGGATTAAATATTGTACCATTAGCATCTACAGGTGTTCGAAAAACACCGATGGTTTGCACTCCTCTATCAACTTGCACAATATCAAAAGCGACTGCACCTTTAATTACTCTTGACCCAAATCAATCAACTTGCGTAATCGCAACTCCAGGTCAATATATGATAACACAACCTACGGCTTTACAATGTGTACCTTTACCACTCATGTGATTATTGACTTATTTTGTTTTCTTTTTCTTTTTGTTCTTCTTTTTTCTTACCTAGTCAAAAAGAAGATAATTCTAATTTTATTTATATTTCGAGAAAAGAGTAATTCCTATCATTAAGTATATGATTCTAAAATAGTCATCAAAACAAAAACTATATTTCTTAATGAATATATTTTTAATTAAAACTTCCATCTAAAACATCAAAATCAATATAGTTTTACTGATAACGTTAATTTTTATTAAAAAGAATTTGTACGATGTAACAGAAGACTTATTATTCGTTCTTCGAATATTTATTCTTTCATATACACAACTATATTGAAATTGTTGACAACAAAATGCATAGATATTTTCATGAATATGACTGAATTCGGTCATTTGATCGTAAATTAAAACAGAATTTTTTTTTGGAAAAATTACAAATCATATATACTAGATGTAGTAAAAGTTTTGCAATATTTTTTTTTGTATGTGACTCTATTTAGAAACATTGACAAAATGTTGATATTTTTCTTCCAAAGTTGTGCCATTGAATGTTCTATTCAGATCACAAGACCAAATTTATATAGTTATTTTCGAAATTTAAGTAGACTACTAATACAAAACATGTGTATTATCGTGTCATTTCCTAGAAAGAAAAATAAGAGAAAATCGAATATTGTTGAATTTCAACTAGAGATCTCGTTTACCTTTCTAATCTTGATGATTATTACTCTTCATCAGCTCAAATCCAAGTGAAAAATATCGTCCGTATCAATTAATCTGGATGCTTTACCGTAAAATAAAACATTTATTGCTGGGTTGTTTTCGAATACATTGACTAAAAACAGTGAGCTACATACACAAATAATAATTAAGATCGGACTTCGACTGAAAATGATGAGAATATATTGAGCATAAAATAGTACAGCTCTCGTAGAAAGTATGGATGCATATTTTTGGCTTTTAAAATGTCTATCACAGGTTCATTTTGTTTGACATTGATTTAATTAAAAATAACCTTAGTTGTCAATCACAAAATGGGTTTTTACAATTTTACCTTGTGAGAAATAACACGATTATATGTGTTTAATGTTAGTACTCTATTAAAATTTTGAAAATACCTATACAAATTTGGTCTTGTGATTTGAGTAGAACATGGCATGCAAACAAAAAAAAAGGTTGCAAAACTTTTGTCATAACTAATATATCAACAAACTTGATGATTATTATATAAAAAGTGTTAAAATGAAATAGAACAATTTTGAATGTAAAATTGAAAAATACTCTAGAAATCAGAGTAGCATATTCAATTGTAAAACACAGATCTCTTCTAAAGATATATTTCTTACATTCTTCAGAAAACTATTCATAGAAGATAAATATCGAAAACATCCTATATATACTTTTTCAACTATTCAACTGACATAATTTCATTATAAATATTCAAAAATAATAAACTCTAATGCACTCTACGATTTCTAGTTGCTAGCCTTTTTATTTGCAAACTACAAATGATTAGCAAAGCAATGTACCAAAAGATTTGATCGTTTTTTGATCAAGATTATTATACTCAGGTGATAAGCTACAGTTAGTAATATAAAAGTCTAAGATGATTCGGTTTTATGAGCTTTTGTTCTTGACATATCGAACTTTTTTATTAGACCTTTTGATCGAAACCTGTGCTCTTCCTCAAGTCATCATGAAAATTGAATTTTGAGTTTTTGACTGGGAATTTGCAACAAAGAAAGCTTTCAATGATATTAGTTCTTGAAGAAACTAATTTTTGTATATTCTACTTTACGATATAAATACTTAAAAAATTTCTAATTCTTCATTTAATGTTATTACCGAATACAAATGACTAAAAACAGTGAAATTTCACTGTAAACTAATTATCATTGAAAATTTATTTATGCAAAGTTTTGAATCGAAGCTTGAAATTCGATTTTCATAGTTACCTGAGAGGGACCACGGTTTCAGTTAAAAAATCTAGTTAAAATTTGATGTTTCAAGAATAATGTCTTAGATAACTAAACTATCTAAGGCTTTGACGAGAAAACCGCTTGAAGTGGTATATTGCATTTGCCCGTATGTGTTATCCACAGATTGGAGATCTATAGACCCGAAATACCTAAGAGAATATGAGTTCATCTTGCGATTTAGCTGAGATATAAGAATGTTGCTGAAATTTCCCTGTAGGATTCTGATTCTCCAGCGAAATCTTACTTTCGAATTTCGATGTGAAACCTTGTCCGTATGAAGAGTTCAACTAAAATAGTTGGTAAGAAAATTTTCAGTACATTATGGAGATATGATTTTTCTTACAAAAACAGGCGTTTTTCTCTAGGTTTTGAATACAAGATGGATTTTCAAAAAAAAAATCAGTCTCGATAATTTGACGCTCAAAAATTCGACATTTAGTCATATAAACTAATCTAATTGAGGTCTTGATATGAACTAAGTTTCAGATGGATATTCAAAATTACGCTTTCGTTGCAAAATTAGGTTCGTCCACAAAGATTTCACTAGTACTTCCATATCTTAACCAAATTACAACATGAATTCATATCCTCTTAGGCTGCTTCTATTCTACAAGTCTTCTACGTGTGAATGAAGTATGAAGGCGAATGTAGAGAGCTGTTTCGAATGGTTGCCTTGTGAGCTAATGGAAAATAATATTCTAAATTCTTTTAAAATAATAACAAATGAACAAGAAAATTTCAGAATCTCATTATTCAATTATTTGACTCTTTTATCCATATTTTACTACTAATTGAAAAGAAATATATAGTGTTAGTTTACAAACGACAAAAAATCTGTAATTATAACAATGGTGTGTCATATCAAAGAATGTTCATCCTCTAGAACATTCAAATCCCGTAATTGATCATAGTCCAGTGAAGTTGTGATCTAGTGTTACAACTTGCCGTGATTTTTCATAATTATTAAAGATAGCCAAAAGAATAGATACTGTAATAACGATTAGTGCTTCGATGGAAAGATTATTTTGCTTAACTGGCTGGACATTTATTTTCTCAAAGACAAAAACATTTATCACCAAGACAATTTTATAACATAAATATTTATTCATTCATACGAAAACTTCAAGAAAAATTAATAAAAAGAAAACTTATCCTTTGTCAATATCCATCTGTTGATATTGATTACATTTAAAATCCCGTATCTTTACGTTTGTTCTATTATTGTTTTGTTTACTGTATGAATGTCGAGTATTTGTTTTTATTATTCATTTCATTTCTACTGAACAACATGTGATAAGGTTTATTAATATGATTATATTGTAAAATGATTTTTCTATCAATAGTATGTCTATGATATTTGACATCGTACCTCATATACAGACAAGTTTGTAACCTTATCAAAAATGCAATGAAAAGATCATTCTATAGTTCGGACACAGGACAGGATGAAGGAAATTGTAATGTGACGTTTTGTGTTTTGTCTTATGCAAAATAGCTACTTAGCATTTGGTGACACTTGATAATATATCATTTTAAAACTAAAATTCATATTGACTTATAAATATTTGTATAATAAATGACAATAAAGCTTCATGTAATGATAATTTTATTTTATCAATAAGAATGCTTGTATAATAAAGAAATTCTATGATCATACTTAAACCTATCATTTTTCTGAAATGAAATAAAAGTATTTTTCTTTTCTATATTATTATCTTTAAGTTAAGTTTATTCTATTTGATGATCACAAAACGTTAAATTCATTACAATAATAACTATTGATAAAATACATATATATATCTTAATTGTTATTAGAATAATATACATCAAAGAACAAAAGTATAAAAACAAATGAAAAAAAAAAAGCTGAAGAAAGAAGTTTTTCTATTGTTGAAATATTCAATACAATTGTTGTCAACACTCAAATTATAAAAGAAAAACTAAACCGCTGTACATGCTGTCATTATTTTTCTAGTCATCACAGCTTCTTCTTTTTCCTTCTCATTCTCTTTTCACACACACACACAACAAATGATAATATCTTAAGGTAGATGGTAGTAGCCAGGGTGGTGAAATGTATATGCATCTATTTCTTTCATCTTCCTTTCTAACTTAGTTATTTATATATCTATATATATAGATCGATCGATCGAACATTCTCTATCCATTTATTTATATGTGAAAAATTGTTATTCTAATTTAAGAATTATTACGTCAGTGTTAGATTTATGTTATAATTTATTTAATATTGTTTCGTCTAATCCAATTCAAATATATTCATGAAGAATTAAATTTAAGAAAATTTTTTTTTGTTATTTCTTCGTGTTCGTTAACTATGTCCGACAATGAGATACATTGAAGAAATTAAGATAACACTATCAATAAAAATAAACAAAAAACAAAAAAAACGTCAATATTTTAGTTTGTTTTTTCAATTTCAAAAATCTTTCTTTCTTTACTTACTTATAAAAATTTTTTTTCTATATTTAATGACTATCGGGGCGGAACAAGATGAGCGTCACAAATAGGCGTTAAATATTTGTATTTGTCAGAATTAGTTCGTTTACGAAAAAAAAAAAAAACTTCTTGTTGACATTAGCTTGGACACGCTCATTTATTCGAAAGTCAACATTTTCGAAAATTAACAAATATAAAATTGAAAAAAATTGTTCTTTCGCTAGATAAAGATCCATACTAAAATGGCTCAATATCATATCCGACATACATATAAACAGTTATCTTCATCACCCAACACATCCATCAATTCAAATTTTGACAAGTAAGCTCCGAATCTAATTTTTTTTTTTTTTTTTTTGTTGTATATATGTATTTTTTTTAACCAAGCTGATTCACAGCTTGTTTGACCGTTGGATTCGAATACAACAATCTCTTTCGATTGTTCATATGCAAGAAAGAGAGAAAACAGACGGTCATTGGTTTTCGTTCTTTTTTTCCTTCATCGGTGAAACGAGAAAAAGAGGAAAAGAAAAAATTCGATTAATTGGAATCGAAGGGAGAGGGAAAACGAAACGTTAGA